ATATTTGGGTAATCCCTCAAGGTTTCGAGGATAATCGTAACAATATTCTTATTTTTCGTCTAAAAATTATTGTAAATATCAATTTTGAGTGAATAATCTTCAGTAGTTACTAAAATATCGCAGTTTTCGTATTTCTGAAAATTACCGTTATATGGGAGGTAGGCGTGGTTATTGTCCGATTTCACCCATTTTCAATACCATCCGTCCTGCGCCCAAAAGAAGTTCACGTACCAAGTTTCGTTAAGATATCTCAATTTTTACTCGAGTTATCGTGTGCACAGACGGACGGACGGACGGACGGACGGACGGACGGACAGACAGTCACCGCTTAATCGATTTCTCTTTTCATTCTGATCATTTATGTATACATTTGTCTATATCTATCTCGATTCGTTTTGCCTGTTACAAACAACCGTTATGTGAACAAAGTTATAATACCCTTGTGCACAAGTGCGCTCGGGTATAAAAATAATTGTTAAAGAGGCACCAGTTAATAGTGGTTAGAGCAAGTAGTTTTCAATAATAACACTATGAGGCAATGTTAACCCTTTCAATCTCGAAACAATTTACGCGGTACTCGACATTTTTGAAGACCCCTTTTAATTTGTTGTGCTATAAATATGAAGTCGTAAACATTTTAAAGATTTAAAAACATATCACTTATGATTTGACAGAATGTACTGAATGAAAATTAAAGTTTTTATCAGTGAACCAATTAAATGGCAGGCACAGTTAGTAAATGGCTTTGAGAACTAAGATTTTTATTTCTATATAAAATAGGAATGTCAGTAGAAAAAGTACATCGATGTTTTTCTCTGATTCTATGTATCGAAATGCACATCGAAAAATTCAGATAATGTTTCACAACAAAATATGATATTAGCAAAATTGTACAAAATTTTAAATAAATTACTACAACCGAGCTGATTATGTTTCTAACGGAAATTTTTGGAGTCATTAAAATTTTTTGGTCAAAGTCACTTCTCTGATTTGTACAATTGAAAAACTGGAATGACGGTTCAATGTACTAGATATGTAAGTTTTCAAAAACATCGATGTATCGATACATCGATACACCGACTATTTATACATCGAGTGGAAAATTTTCGATGCATCGAAGCAAAACATCTATATTTTCGATGCATAGATGTTTTTCCGACATCCCTTATATAAAACGTCAAAAGAGAGATTCGCCCGAAGCTCCTATATAGATTGCTAAGGCCGGCCATGTATCAATTGAGAAAGAATATTGCATACAAATTTTATATATAAACTTTTCTCCTTTTTCAGAACCTTTTTGATGAGCATTCACAAACTTTCATCAATAAATGGCTAGCTAAATTCGGATATTTATGCGAATATTTGATTGACCACCTGGAAAAACAACATATCCTCGCCATGTTATCTCTCATTGGAACAGTCGTGTTCATGTTTNTAAATGGCTAGCTAAATTCGGATATTTATGCGAATATTTGATTGACCACCTGGAAAAAGAACATATCCTCGCCATGTTATCTCTCATTGGAACAGTCGTGTTCATGTTTGCTGTTGGATATATTATGGTATATTTTGTTCGAGCCGAAGAAGAAAGCTTGAAAGAAAGGGGACAGCTGAAAGGACATCCCAATTTTTGTAAGTAGTGTCTTAATTTAACTAAGCCTAAATGTTTTTTAAGCGCCTTTTAGCGTATGACATGATAAATGCTAACACAATCAGTTTTTTTTGTATAATCTCACTTGTTTAAGTATTGCATCTTTTAATTTAAATCAGCAATGATACGTGTGGNAATCCCAATTTTTGTAAGTAGTGTCTTAATTTAACTAAGCCTAAATGTTTTTTAAGCGCCTTTTAGCGTATGACATGATAAATGCAAACACAATCATTTTTTTTTGTATAATCTCACTTGTTTAAGTATTGCATCTTTTAATTTAAATCAGCAATGATACGTGTGGGCATTTCCTGCGTTATGGCCCTTTCATGCAGATACACTTTTTTCAGCAAAAAACAATAGTAGACTTTAGATCAGGAATTTGTTTTGTCACAAATAGCCATCATTGTCCTTCAGCCAACACAAATACAAATATTTGCCATGAATAGTATCTAGTTAGTTTAGGGCGCCTTAAAGCTCAGTTATTCTAAACCTAATTTACGTAACTTAACTTAACTTAATACTTTGGCCAACCTGTTATTTATATGAGAAACTGTGTTGGCGGTTAGTTAAAACTTAACTTGCCGTAAGAAACTTAAGAACCCGTAGTTTTTAGATTCTGAAGTTACGGCCATACGGAAATTGAGAGTGGTGAGAGAATAAGGCGTGCCAGATTTTCGTTTTTGCCTTTCTTAAAAATAAATAACCAGAAATATTTTTTTCGCGGACATTATAGGCGGGGAACTATCGAACAGTTTGAAAATAAAATACAACTATAAAAAGAAATATCTTCGCTTCTGGCTTAAGTTGACGTGTTGAGTAGTCATTGACGATTTCTTACGGTAAGTTAAGTCTAGACTAACTGAGCGTTTAAAGATGCCGTTCGTACATTACTAAAGTATACCGCATGTTGGAGACATTTCTTACTTTCAATTCGATATTTACAATTTTCCGGGATCCTGGGATTAATGCAAGCAAATCCCGGGATTTTCGGGACCTGAAAAACACCGGGATCCATAGGGTAGACATTCAAAAAAAAAAAACAAGCCCGCTGCGCTTTTGAATAATACAAGTAGTATGTAAATAATATTGTAACAGTATCAATCTGAAAACAAAATAATTGAATTAAATAGTTGGTATTATTTGCAACACTTATGTATTTTCACATATAGTATTATGATAATTCGAACGATTGGTGTGGTAAGGTTGGGTGCTTTTATCCCCATTTTGACAAAATTTTTTGGAGACTTCAAATGCTAAGAAAGTCGGATAACGGAAGAAAAGCTATGTATGCGCGAAATTTCGATTTCATATCGCTAATTTACTTCAACAGTGCGATAATCCCAAAAACACAAATATTGAGCTAAGTATTTAAAAATTACCGCTACCTTTTCTTTTATGTTGTGTAAAAATTTCTTAACTGTACTGATTACCAGTATCTCACAAGAACAAAATATGTATTAATTTACACTTTGGGATTATATGTATGCCGTTTTTCTCTTGTCTTGCTTTTTGCGTTATGACAATATTGAAGTAAATGAGCGATACATTAATTAGTATGCTTTTTATTGAAATTTTAAGATTTGGTTTGTATGGGAAGTAGGCGTTAAAATACAGCAACAACGAAATATTTTTTTTTTTTAAATTTATATTTATTTATTTATTTATTTATTTATTCATTCAGTAGTAATCTAGATTAACAAAGTTACTTACAGACTACTTAGAAATAGAAGGAGTTATATATTAAAACTCATTGCATTTAACATTGATTTGAAATCAGACTTAGATAGAGAAAAATCAATGGCTAGAGAATTTGAGAGTATATTGAACTCAGTCAGAGCTCGAAAAATTGGAGCATTAGAAGCGTAAAGAGTTCGGACACATCCTGTATAAAAAATATCACTATTTCGGAGAGTCCGGTTAGGGATATGGAAAAAAATGCGCTCGAGGAGATATGGTGAATCAATTACACCCTTAATAATATCGAAGACAAAGGTGAGCGAAAGAATAGTTCTTCTGCTTTGAAGAGATTTCAGGTCAATTAGCGCACATCTGGCTTTATATGAGGGAATAGGGTCCGCGAAATTCAGCGACCGCAGAGCAAAGCGTAAAAACGTTTTTTGAACCCGCTCGAGTCTATTAATATAGCATCCATGATAGGGTCTCCAGATAAAAGAAGCGTATTCCAACTTAGAGCGTACCAGCGACGTGAACAGTAGCTTAAGGGTATAAGGATCTGTGAAATCTGAACTAAATCGACGAATAAAAGCAAGCACTGAATACGACTTAGCAATGGTGTAATTTAGATGACTATTAAATAAAAATTTCGAGTCAAAAACTACACCTAAGTCAGTTATCTCATTAAGAGCAGATAGACGGGTACCAGCAATACAATACGAAGTGGGGATAACGCGACGCGATTTGGAGTAGGATAAATGAAAACACTTACTTATGTTTAACTCTAGGCCATTGGTGCGACACCAGGCTGAGACATTGTCAAGGTCTGATTGAATCTTAATGGAGTCTGAAGAATTTGAAATGGTCGAAAAAATCTTCAAATCATCAGCGTATAAAAGAAAATTAGAGTTAACAAAACAACTCGATATGTCATTAATAAAAATGACAAATAGCAGGGGGCCTAAGATGCTGCCTTGGGGAACCCCAGACGACGCTATGAAAGAGTTGGAGTGCGTATTGTCGACAACGACTACACAGTTTCGATGCTGAAGATAGGATTTTATCCAAGATAAAAAAAGTGAATGAAAACCCAAACTAGCTAATTTAGAGATCAAAATTGAATGACTGACTTTGTCGAAGGCTTTTGAAAGATCTGTATATACAGTGTCAACTTGAAGGCGGTCATTGAAAGCCGTCATACAAAATTCAGAGAAAATTGCTAGATTTGTCACAGTTGACCTACCGGACATGAAACCATGCTGATTATCGGAAATTAAGCGTTTAACTGTAAAATACAACTTCTGCTTAACAATATATTCAAATAACTTTGAAACAGTCGACAACTTGGCGATGGGCCTGTAGTTGGAAACATTGCTTTTATCACCACTTTTGAATATAGGGCTAATGAAGGTAACTTTCCAGGCATCGATGAACTCGCCACACTCAAGTGATTTATTGAACAGTAACAGAAGTGGGTTTGCAAAGGCCAAACAATTCTTAAGAAGATAAGATGATAAGCCATCAACGTCTGTCTGCAATGAGGATTTGATTTGCAAAATGCCATCAACTACATCCTCAAGAGATAATGAGAGCCTGCCAAAGTTAATTGGAGAATCCACAGTTGGAGAAAAACCCCAAGTGGTTTCCGACTGTGTCACAAAATTCGAGCGGAAGAAGTCAGCAAAAAGATTTGCAGCCTCAGAAGATGAGGAAGCATGGGTCCCGTTATAGAAAACTTCCGAGGGAATACTAGAGCACGATTTTTTTGAATTTACATAGTTCCAGAACGACTTTGGATTCACCTTGATATCCGACTCGAAATTACGAACATACCTGCTCTGAAGCATTTTACCTAACGTTTTAAACTCTCTCGAATAGTGAAGATATTTATCTTTAAAGGCAGAAATTTTAGTAGATTTAAATTTTTTGTAAAACTTATTTCTCAAATTCTTTAGCTTCTTTAGTTTCTTAGTATACCACGGGATTTTATAGCAGTTTTGTTTTTTTAGCGGAATATTGTTCAAACAGATTTCATTGACTCTATTTTTAAAAATAGTAAAACAATCAGTAACATCGAATCCGGAAAATAGTGATTCCCAGTCTGTGGAGTAGATTTCTAGATTGACAATATCAAAATTGCAACGCCTAAAACAAAAACTAGGCTTTTGATTATTCAAACAGATACTTTCAAAGTTATAAAACTCAAGATCAAGAGAAATCGGCACATGATGCAAACCGGGACACGAAAGTGGGTCAAGGCATTGACTTAAATTAAAGTTCATATTTTCATTAATAAAAACTAGATCAAGAGTTCTGGATAACTTATTAGTGAGACTATTTATCTGGGATAGATTAACACTTAGGAAGTTGTCTACAAGATACGATTCAGAAAAACCGTTCACATATTTAGGAAGTAAAGTTGAACTATTGTCTAAGTATGACCATTCCACGTTCGGTAAATTAAAGTCTCCGAGAATGCAAAAATTATCACTGTCATGATTGCAGACGAGATCGACAATGTTGTCAACGTGCGATTTGTAGAGTGAGTCCATACTAGACGGAGGAATGTATGACGCGCAGATAAAAGTTTTGGAGATGTCAAGCACCGAGACACACAATTGATCCAACAAGGAGTCCGTGTTGCTCAAACTCACAAGCGATGAGCGAATCCGACGATGAACAGCGATGAGAACCCCACCTCCTCTCAAGAGGCCTAATTTGGAGTAGTCGCGATCTTTGCGATATACGCAATACAAATTGGCGTCGAAGAATTCGCTGTCAAAAAACTCCGAGTTCAGCCAGGTTTCTATCAAGACAAAAACGTCGTATTCAGCATGAGAGCTCATATTGAAAAGCGAGTTAGATTTAGTCCGCAGGCCGGATACATTTTGAAAATATATTGTAAGATGCTTCATATACTTGGGATGCTTCAAATGGCAATTAGCTGGAACACAAGTGCCTACGGCTTCAGTTGTGGTGCACCCTCTTTTTGAAAAAACCGAAAGGGTCTAATCATAACATTCGTTGGCCAAATATTCGCATTGAGCACTTTATCATAAAAGCACTCATTAACGCCTAATTTAAAATTTACTTTTTTAATTTCATCCACATTAGCGTCCTT